GGAGAAAAGATTGAAGTTGTCAAGGACTTCATTCTTCTTGGATCAACTATAAACACTCAAGGAAGCAGAAGTCAAGAAATCAGACGATGTATTGCTTTGGGCAAGTTTGCTGCAACACTTTTTCAAGTGTTGAAGAGCAAAGATGTCAGCTTGAGGACTAAGGTGCACCTTACACAAGCCATAGTATTTTCAATAATCTCATATGCATGCGAAAGCTGGACAGTAAATAAGGAAGACCATAGAAGATGCATTTGAGTTATGGTGTTGGAGGAGAATACTGAAAGTGCCATGGGCTGTCAAAAGAACCAACCGATCTGTGTTGGAAGAAGTGCAGCCAGAGTGCTCCTTGAAGGTCAAGATGGCCAATCTTTGTCTCTCATACTTCGGGTATATTGTCAGGAGGTACTGGTCGCTGGAGAAGGATATCATGTTTGGTAAGGTGGAGGGTCAGATAAAAAGAGGAAGACCACCAATGAGATGGATTGGCCAAGTGGCAGCATCGATGGACTCAAGCATGGCAACAGTAGTGAGGTTGGCCCAGGATCAGGCAGTGTTTCGTTCGGCTATGCATAAGATCACTATGGGTCAGTACCGACTCGATGGCACCTAACAACAACAACAACAAAAGACAAGAAAGGCCAGACATAAACCAGGTTTCTTTGATGTCCAGTCCATATAGCCCTAGGGAAACTTTTGAAGAACCATCTGAACTGTTGCTTTTAAATGCCACCATGTCAACTCTGGTAGCATAGTGATTGCGAATCGTGCTATGAACTGCAAAGTAAACAGTTCAAAACTGCCAGCTGCTCCACAGGAGAAAGATGAGGCTTTCTGCTCCTGTAAAGATTTACAGCCTCAGAAACCCTGTTCAGGGTTGCTATGGGTCTGAACCGACTCGACGGCACTTAACAACAAATGTCAACTAGGTGGAAATATTTTTGGAAATCTTGAAGGGCAAATTTAGTTTTGGAAAAATAGGGAAAACAGAAAGAGTTTGAAAACTTAGAATATTAATTGGTATTTTCTGAAAATTTTTCCTCCTGTTTCTTTTTAGCCCTTGAAAAAACAATAGTCTTTTTCTAATTCTGATGTTAACCTATTCATCTTCAACCTTTCTAAGGCTATATATGTCTCTCTAAGCATAACTTAAGCTGCATTCTATGAAAATTTTTTTGTTAGATGTCATCAGGTTGGTTCTGATTCACTACCTACTGCTGCTGAGTTAATTCCAACTAATAACACCCCACAGGACAGAGGAGAACTGCTCCATAGGGTTTCTATGGCTGTAAATCTTTAGGGAAGTAGGTGCCTCATCTTTCTCCCATGGAGCAGTTGGATGATTTGGACAGCCAACCTTTTGGTTAGCACCAAAACACTTAACCCACTGTACCACCTGGGTTCCTTTGAAAACTTAAAATACTTAAACAAATTTTATTTCAGCAGTAATTATGTTTTGTTGCATATAGATAATGTCAAGATCTTTAGGTAATTTACTGGTATTAAGTTAATAAATATGTTATAATTTAAGTTCATATACTTTTGCTTTTTAGAGTAAATATGTTTCTCAGCTGGTGAGTTTGAACTGCCGACCTTGTGGTTCCGAGTCCAGTGCATATATTTATATGGGGACCTGGAATGGTGCCATAGGATAAGCAATCAACCTCAAGGTTGGTTTGAACCAGGAAGGTTGGAGGTTCAAATTCACCAGCCTCTCCTTGAAAACCCTATCAGGGTTGGAACCAACTCAATGGTACTTAACAATAACAACAAATATATATATATGTATATACAAGGACTTCTGGTGTGGTACTGTAGGATCAATATTGGACTGAGAACCACAAGGTCAGCAGTTCGAACCCACCAGCTGCTCAGGGTTGCTATGAGCCAGAACTCACTTGACAGCACTTAACAACAACACATATATATATGATCGCTTATCTGTTAGTCTGTCTTCTGTGATGGCTTGCGTGTTGCTATGATTGCTGTTGTTGTTAAGTGCCATTGACTCGATTCCAACCCATAGCAACCCTGCATAGGGTTTCCAAGGAGTAGCTGGTGAGCTTCAATGGCTGACCTTGCAGTTCAAAAGGCTTTACAGTCTGCAAGAACTATCCCCACCCCCTCCACACAAAGGGTAGACAGGGATGGGCAGCTTGGACATTGGCTACCCAAAATGGGAGGAGGGATACAGAGGCAAGAAGTGACTGGCTTACAAGCTTTAAACAGGGAACCTAGATCCAGAAGGCGTGGAGGAAGGTAGAGTCTCCAGTGAGTGGTGTCCAGCCTGTCCAGGAAGGGCTGATGAAACGAAATATGGATGGGTCTCTTGTGATGCAATGGTGAATAATTGTTATCAGGACTGATTGTGAGGGTTGGAAATCTAAAGATGGACATTTTGTAGCAAAGAGGGGAGTGATTAACTTATTAGTCTAGGAGCGGAGGACCCTGGGACCATCAATGGAGAAGAGCGAAGAGCGGAATCCTACCCAGAGAGGCAGTGAGGCCTGGGATGGAGGCAGAGAAGACAACGTCAAGAGATGGTGGGGCTGGGGGCTCGCGATCAGGAGATGGAAAGGGGCTGAGGACTGTGGGGGGTAGGGTGCAGGCTTACAGGGTACACCCCTTGGTTGGGTGAGGATGCATGGACAGGATGATAACTATGCCAATGAAATGATGGATGATGGAATGAATGTAAAGCTGATGTTCTCCCATGTAGACTATCACACAATTCACAATAAAACATTAAAAAAAAAAAAAAAAAAGGCTTTACAGTCTGATGCATTAACCCACAGCGCCACACCAGGACTCCTTAGGCTTATGAAAAGGACTGTGATATCTTTACTATTACAGTGGCTCCTGCTAGGTTGAATCAAGATTTCCAGAACTCTTGTAGAAGGTGCTGCGTGCACAGATTTGTGGCTGGCTCAAGATCACACGGAATAGAAATGAAGGCTGACTAGGTTAAAATACTGTTATTGCTGTTGTTAAGTGCCATCAAGTCCATTCCTACTCCTAGCAACCCTGTATAGCGTTTCTGAGGAGCAGCTGTGGGTTTGAACCAATGACCTTGTGCTGTGGATTTTATCTGGGAATATTGTTTTTGTTCAAAAGTTCTATTCTTTGCATATAAAAAAACCCCAATTTTTTTCCTAACCAATAGGTTTGTTGTTTTTTGCCTGTAGGTTTGGATTGGTTCTTGTTATATTCTTAAGTATGAGGTTAAATTAAGGTAAATGGGTAATTATTTTAATTGCTGTCTAATACAATGTTATATGAAATGCCTATCTACTGCTTGTAATCAAACTGTCACGCCCTTGCTATGCAGAAAATTACATGTCTTAAAGAAATTAGGTCCTCAGAGATCAACCTCACCAAATGGTTTCTCCAATGTGGCTTTGCTCTGAAGTTTCCCTAATGTAAAATCACAAAAGCAGCGTATCTGAGTGGGAGAAAACATTCTTATGAGGGTGATCAAAGAAGCACTATGGAAATTCAGGATCAGAGGAGAAAACAATAGGTGAAGGTACCCCAACACCTTAGAACATGTAGTCAATTAAAAGGTTGACACAAATTTTGGCTAGGACTCCATTTTGTGTTTGACCCCACTTCTGTTTCTGAGAAAGTGACTCATGACTGCAGATGAGTAAACAAAGGAAGAGCAGGTTACCTCAGGGAGGAACACATGTCTTAAGTAGAATAGACCCACCTGCTGCCAATTATGATTTTGTCATGATTTTCACAGGATGGCCCCATGGCCCTGAGTCAGTAAATTCCATTGGCCTCTGTACTGTGAGCATGCTGATGGTTTCCCTCGTCTGGATGATTATGTTTCTTTTGTCTTTGTCCAGTTTAAGGCTATTTAATAAAAGGTCTCCATAGAATCTGCTTGAATCTGGGATCTTTTTTCCCCTAGCACATACGCAAAAAACATCTCTGCCATATGCTTTTCCTCTCTTCCCTCCCCCAACAAATTCTTCTTTTCTCTTTAAAATGACTACTGTGAAGACAATATAAATACAGGATAATGTTGGATACACTATCAAGTTATTTTTAAAAACAGAATGTTTTATTATTGTGTTTTCAAAACATGAAATAAAAAGACTAGAAAAAGTTCCAAATGCCAACAATGATTTTGTATAACCTAAAATACTTTAAATTTCTAAAATATCCATGTTATTGTTGTTAAGCATCCTGTAGAGTCAGTTCCCAACTCATTTGTTGTTGTTGTTAGGCGCCGTTGAGTCAGTACCGACTCATAGTGACCCTGTGTACAACAGAGTGAAACACTGCCCAGTCCTGGGCCAACCTCATAATTATTGACACGCTGTATAGGGTTTCCAAAGGAGCCCTGGTAATGTAATGGATTATGAGCTGGGCTGCTAACTACAAGGTCAGCAGTTCAAGTCTATCAGTCGCTCAGTGGAAGAAGGATGGGGCTTTCTGCTCCATATAACCACCTTGTATAGATATGAAGCCTTGGAAACCCTATATAGGGTCACAGGGAGTTGGACGGTTTGGTGACAGACTACCACCATAGGGTTTCCAATCAATGGTTGGTGGATTTGAATCGCTGACCTGTGGTTAGCAGTCCAGTGCTTATCCTACAGTGCCACACCAGGACTCTAAAATGTCTATGATATTTGCGATTTACTAAGAAAAGGAATTTAAAAAGCAAAAATCTGAAAATGGAATTGCAGTTTTTAACTACAGGCCTAAAAGTGATGTGGGGCTGTTGTCCAGCAACACCACAGAATCTGCTTAAATTAAAAGCAACAGAGATTTACTGAGGGATTAAGGCAGTCTGGCCTGGGAAGACGTCCATTTTCATACTGACCGTATCACCAGACAATGAGGAAAAGTGCATTTCTGAGCAGTTAGAGTAGTAACTAAAAGTTACAAAATTGTAATTGGCTAAAAAATAATCTGGGGAGTCAAAGGTGGGATATCTAAAAACTGGGGTAACACTTAAGTGGGATTACATGATTGATTAAAGGAACATGCCCTTCAATTGATTACAGGTCAGCAGTCAGTGACAGGACAGGTTCTTCTGGTAACCTGCTATAATAAATAATCTTTGATAATTATAAGCTATCACATCACAAGTCTATTAGACCACAGTGGAAATAGACCACCTCTGGAAATAGATTGTGATATCCTACACCTGCCAAACCTCAAGAAAAAGAATGTGCCTTTTAGGGTATATGATTAGGTCAGCATCAGGACAGAGGAACTTGTTAGAAAAGGTCGATTTCAAATTCCAGCATGGATTCTAGATGCATGTCAAGACTTAAAAGGGGAGTTAAGATTCTGCTTCCAGTTGCTCTATTTACACAGACCAAGTGTCCCTGGTTTTAAGCTCTCATACATGCAGACACAGCAGTTTTTGAAATTTCAGGTCTTTTGTTGAGGAAGAAAAGAGGCGGGCAAGGCAGGAAGGACAATACTTGTAGTTACTCTTTTGTGATCTCTTAGCCTGATTACACTAAATCTACGTCCTTAGACCCAACTCAACTGTATTAAATGCCTCGGAGGTTCAGCTTCTCCTCGCGGTCATTTCTCCAAAATTCAAAGAACGACGTGGTAGGACCAGAATTGTTCTAGCGCTATTGCAAGGGAGTCCTGTTGTGGCGCTGTAGGTTAACGCGCTGGACCGCAAGCCAGTTTGAACCACAAGATCGGCGGTTCAAGCTCATCAGATGCTCCCGGGAAACCCTATACAAGGTCGCTATGGGTCGGAACCGACTCCAAGGCACTTAACAACAACAACTGCAAGGGAGAAACGGAGAGGCGCTTCGCCCCAAACCCCGCTTCCGACCCGCCATATTCCGCTTCTGGCCCGCCAGACTCCGCCTCCGACTCTCCAGGCTCCGCCTCCGACCCGCCCAGGCCTGGCTCCGCCCGCCGCCGTCGCGTGACTGTGAACCCGGCCTGTGGCTGATGCTGCTGCCAGTTCGTCATGGTGCTGGTTCTGTGGAGGTGTTGCGATCCGCAGCTGCTGCTGCTGGGGCTCCTGCTCGGCCTCAGCGCGGGTAGGTTCGGGCAAAGCATCAGCGGACTGTGCTTCCTCCTCTTTGCAGGGATGAAGAGAGTTTGTTAGTGGGCTTGTGCTTTTTGAAAACAACTCTTTTTCCCAGATCTTGCCTTTTGTATATTTATTTTTTAACTTCCTTAATTTATTTATTTTGTTATTTATTTTAAGTTCAAAGTGCTTTTTCTACCGTTTTCGGGCTCGGGGTTGCCTCCTTTCTTCCCTGTGCCTAGTAGAAGCAGTGTGCAGTAATGTCCTATTTCGGGGAACTGCTGATCAATGAGGTTTCCAAGATCTTGAGGCATCACCTTCTTTTCCTGTTGTGATTGCCTGCTGAGGTTATATTTTGAGCTCAAAAGTGGTCATAAAGACTCTAAAGTCTTACCACAAATGAACCATTTTATTGAGATAAGGCCTTTCCTCCTGTATTTGATAAGTATGGACCAGGTAACTTCTGCCCACACCGTGATATTTTTGCAAAATCAGTTCGTTTTTAAAATGATGACCTTTGACTCATTTCACTCTTACTGCTCACCAAAAATGTCCCTTTGTCAGCAACAAGAAATGAGAATTTGAACTGGCCACAAAGTTGTCTTGTGATCTTAGGCAAGTTGCTTAATAAGAAGGAGTTCTGTTTTTTCCTTTTGTAAAATATATTTTAACAGTGAAGGGAGGAGTGCCAGAGACGGGGTCAAAAGTGACCCAAACCTTATCTGTCAAGGAGACTGTAATCTCATGTTAACTTGTATAATGAAAAGTTAACTAACATATATGTGTGAGAGAGAGTGCGCTGCCAATTACTCATCTTCTAAGCACATCTGCAGTGTTCTAGTCTCATGTACAATAATTTAGCTTTTGTGTTGTGTTCTTCTGGCCGCATTATGGTTATCTTAGCCTTCATTCTTGTGATTTACAAAATAGAATGATCTCTTCTCTATTTGAGCCAGTTTTTGTGCTTTTACTTGCCAGAGGGCTTGGAATTTAAGAAGTGACAATAGAAAGCGGAAAAGTCTGTCACCAATGGTGTTGCCATTACCATCACCTTTTAATGCCAGCCTTTAAAAAAAAAAAAAAAAATCCAGAATGATTTTTGAGAGAGAAAAAAAGATACTGCAATTTGGGAGATGTTGGTTTAGCAAAAGTTTATGTAGAAACTATATTTAATCTAGTCTTTCCTAATACACAGTTTGCACATGCTAGAAAAGTTAACTAAGAGAAATTGGAGTTACAGGATCAAAGTGTGTGTATTCCATTTTTCCAAGAACTTTTTGGAGCTCTTGGCGTGGCGCTGTAGGATAAACACTGGACTGCAGCATCAAAGTTGGTGGTCCAAACCCACCAGCCACTGTTTGGAAACCCTCTAGAACAGGGATGGGAAAAGTCCGACCCACAAAATCATTTGATCTGGCCCTGCTAAGGCAACTGCAGTTCCAGCTATCACACTGTTGCTGTGTTGAGTTCATTAAAGGTTAGACCAAATATAGAAGGCGAATTTTTAAATTGATGATTTTGTGTGGGCTGCAAATGATATTATAAATTTTGGCAGAAAAAAGGTTGCCCACCCCTGGTTACGAATCCGGCTGCGAACCTTAAGGTCAGCGGTTCGAAACTACCAGCTGCTCCGCGGGAGAAAGATGAGGCTTTCTACTCCCGTAAAGATTTACACCCTCGGAAACCCTGTACAGGGTCGCTATGGGTCGGAACCGACTCGACGGCACTTAACAACAACAACAACCCCTGTACTACAGGGTCCCTATGAGAACTGAGGCTTTAAATCTTTAAATCTTTGCATGAGTAGAAGCCTCGTCTTTTTCCCCACAGAGCAACTGATGGGCTTAAACTATCTACCTTGTGGTTCACAGTCCAGTTCTTATCCTTTGAAGTCTCTATCCTCCCAGATAGATAGATAGATAGACACACACACACATATATATATAGAGAGAGAGTCCTGGTGTGCTGCTGTAGGATAAGCACTGGCCTGCTAACTGGAGGTTGGCGGTTCAAACCCATTAACCATTCCGCAGAAACTCTTAACATGAATTGGAGCCAACTTCACAGCACTTAACAACAACAATATATATACATACATATATATTTATTTACATGGAGTTCTGGTGTGGCGCAGTGGGTTAATACGCTGGGCTTCAAGGTTGGTTTGAACTGCAAGGTTGGTGGTTCAAGCTCACCAGCTACTCGTCAGAAACACTATACAACGTATACGTACTTATACTCAAAATAACCCCTGCAGGTGTGTATATAATCATAATCGACTCAATGGCAGTAAGTTTTGTTGTTGTTTGATGTGTATTTTATAAATATATTTTGTGTTGTGTGTATATATTGTGCATAACTTTATGACTCAGTGGCACCTAACAACAAACAACATTCTTCTACATATTTGCACACGAGTAAGGAAAATTGCCTTTTTTCATATTTGTAGATTTTCTTATTTGAACACTTGCTATTCTAATTTTGTGGTACAGAAATTTAATAGTTTTCTGTCCTCAACTCTGTTGATATTTTTCATTGTAACCTTTAGGGTGTGAACTGAATTCTTTCCTTGTTCAGAGTTCAGAAAAATGTTCTCATATATGTTTGTATTTTTTTTTATCGTTTTAATTTTGGAATTGAATTCACTGACCCATCAAGAACTTACTTTGCTTAATACAGTGAAGAAAGGACTTAAATTTAAACATTTTTTTCTCCTCCAAAAAAGACTAGCTGTTGCCTAGCCCCATGTGCAAGCAAACCTTGGATGTATTGTGGTTCCATTTCAGACCACCACAATAAAGCCAGTCACACCAACTTTTTGGTTTCCCAGTACATGTCTGTTAAGTGCAATGCTGTATGCCTTGGAGTGGGTTGCGACACATAGCGACCCTGCACAGGGTTTCTGAGGCTGCAAATCTTTACAGGAGCCGAAAGCCTCATCTTTCTCCCATGGAACAGCTGGTAGTTTCGAACTGCTGACCTTGTGGCTCACAGCCCGATTCGTAACCACCACGCTGCCAGAGCTGCTTATTAAGTGCAATACATCATGAAAAAGTCTAGAATATTGTGACAATGACCAAGACATGAAGGCAGGGTGTCACAGTTGAAGTGTTGTCCTACAAGGGTGCTACTGTCCTTCCAAAGAATTGGGAAAGCATAGAATTTATTAAGCATGGTGGTGGTGGTGGTGTGCCATCTAGTTGGTTCTGACTCCTAGCTACCCTGTATAGGGTTTCCGAGGCTGTAAATCTTTATGGGAGCAGAAAGATGAGGCTTTCTTACCCATGGAACATCTGGTAGTCTTGAACTGCTGACCTTGAGGTTAGCAGCCCAACTCTTAACCACTATGCTATCAGCCATTCTTATAGAGAGATAAGAGTGGGCTTCCACCTTTGATTGAGGAAGAGCCCCAGTACAGTTTGGCTTTCCTTTATATAGCCTTCTGTTGGGGGTGTGAGCTATATTCCTGGTTCAAGTGTCCAAGTAGCTAATTTGGGGAATTTATCTAAATATGTTTACTCTGAGTCTCCTTGCCCAGTTTCATGACTGACTTAATTTCTTCCCCTTTATAACAGTTCCTTTTTTTTTTTTTTTTTTAACTAACACCCTATCAGGGTCGGTCTCTTTATTGCTGAGGTTGGTCTAAAATTTTTGCTGAGACCCAAGGGATTTGTCTAAATATGGTTTCATTTCATCTTGTATTTCAGGTTTAACCTATTATTGGCTATTTATTTACCACTTACAACAGTTTCCCCTCTTACCTACTCCTCCTCTCAGAACTTCCTCATTGCTGAGCCTGGCTTGTTTCTGCTGAGACACTAGATAAAGCACTGGACCACAAGGTCGTTTTGATCCGCAGTTCAAACGCACCAGCTGCTTCTTGGAAACCCTACACAGGGTCACTCTGAGTCAGAACCAGTGTGACAGCACTTAACAACAACAACAACAACCTTAGCATGCTGTTGGAAAAATGGCTCAGATAGTCTTACTCGATGCTTGTTGTTGTTGTTGTTAAGCGCTGTTGAGTCGATTCCGACCCTAGCGACCTTGTATAGGGTTTCCGAGAAGTAGCTGGTGAGCTTGAACCGCTGACCTTGCAGTTCAAATGGGTTTGCAGTCTGGTCCATTAACCCACAGCGCCACACCTTCAATTTGTGAAAAATACAATATCTGTGTAGTGCAATAAAAAAAAGACATGCCTGTATTGAATAATCTTGGCCCCACTAATTTGCAGTACCTATTTAATCATACATTAAGTCAATTTAAAAACCAGCGTTTTGCTTTTAAGAATTTTTTTCCCTTCAAGATGTAAACATCTCTAGTTTTTATAAATTTATGAAAATGTCACATTCTTGTTAAAAATCCAAACATGACAGAAGTGTATACAGAAAACAGTGAAAGCCCCCAGCCTCCTGTTCTGCTGTTTTATGACGTTTTTCATTAACTGAGTTTGTCTTCATCCCCACAGTATACTTGTGTTGGGGTGGGTAAAGCATGTAATATATAAAACTCATCTCTGACCCACCTCGGCTAAGTGTACCAGGCTTGGCTTTTACCCGGACATGAGACACTCTTTGTTGTTGTTAAGTGCCGCCGAGTCGATTCTGACCCATAGCAACCCTGTATAGGGTTTCCAAGGAGCAGCTGGTGAGCTTGAACCACCAGCCTTGCAGTTCAAACGACTTTGCAGTAGGGAAATCTAATTGTGTTTCTTTTCAGGTGCTGTCCTCAGCCAGTCCACAGAGGAGGGCAAGGAAGTATGGGATTATGTGACAGTCCGCAAGGATGCCCACATGTTCTGGTGGCTCTATTATGCCACCAACCCCTGTAAGAACTTCTCAGAACTGCCTCTGGTCATGTGGCTTCAGGTAAAAGTGACTTTATTGTCTGAGCTGGGGTTTCTCCCCACTTGATATTTTTCTTATTCCTAAGGGTTCATGGCTGGATAATTAGAAATAGCTAGTTGACTCGATGACACCTAACAACAACAGTTGCTGTCAAGTTGATTTTGACTCACAGGGACCCCACATGTGTCAGAATAGAACTGCACTTCATTGGATTTTCTCAATGGCTGAGTTTTTGAGATCACTAGGTCTTTCTTCTGAGACCTGTTTGAATAGACTAGAACTGGGAGCCTTTTGGTCAGCAGCCGACTGCGTTAACTATCAGCACCACCCAGGGACTGCTACTGATTGCTAGGCAGGAATGCAAAATGCCAGGCCGCTCAGCTGTGAAGGCCTGATTTGTTAAGTCCAGCAGCCAACTGGGGGGGATCCTAGGCATGGGGACTGGACATCTAACTGAGTCAGGCTGAAGCAGAAGTGTGGCCGAGGAGGCTTACTTATAGAGTGAGGGAGTTTCAGCCTTTTGCTGGCATCTCCTAATGTGGCATCCAGACAGTTGTAACAACCTTACTGAAAGTGCCTGGTAGTACACTTGACTATATAACATTGAAAGGTTGAGAAGCAGAGAGACTACTTGCCCACTCTTCCTTTCTTCCTAATCCTTTTCTAGGCCCTAACATCATGCCCTCAGGTAATACTGATTTAAAAAAACAAAAAAAAACTGTGCAGAGTTTCTTCTTAAATATGTTATTGAAATAGAATTGCTATTTATAGAATTTGCATGTTTAAAATGTGATGGTTTTTAGTATATTCACACAGTAATCTCCACATCAAATTTAGAAAATTTTCATGAATTCAAAAAGAAATCCCAAATAACATTCAACTCCTTTTCCTATTTTTTGCCCATTGGCTCTAGCCAATCACTGCTCTCCTTTCTGTCTTTGTAGAATCCCCTACTCTAAACTGTCATGTGAATGGAATCACATAATATGTGAACTTTTGTGACTGGCTTCTTTCACTTAACATATGATCACGGATTACGATCATATGATCACGGATTACCCAAATGTGTATCAGTAGTTCATTCTTTTTTACGGTCCGTGTACACACGTCTTGTATAGTCATTCCTCCATTGATAGATACTTGAGTGATTTCTACCTTCTCACTAATCTGAATAATGCGACGACTGTAAACATTCATGTACAGGTTTTTGTGCGGACATATATTTTCTTTCTTCAAGGGGTATTGCTGAGTCATACAGGTGTGGCGCTGTGGGTTAATGTGCCAGACTGCAAAGCCATTTGAACTGCAAGGTTGGCAGTTCAAGTTCACCAGCTGCTCCTTGGAAACCCTATACAGGGTCACTATGGGTCAGAATCGATTCGACAGCACTTAACAACAACAACATAGTAACTTCTGTCCTACAAGTTCACTATGAGTTAGAATCAACTCGATAGCAGTAGGTTTGGGATTTTGTTTTTGTTGTTTGCTTGCTTTTTGGTTATAATAACTCTTAAGTTGGTTATGAGTTGGGATGCTAATTGCAAGGTCAGCAGCTCAAATCCACCAGCAGGGGAAAGACGAGGCTTTCTGCTCCCGTAAAGATTGCCAGCCTCAGTAACCCTATAGAGGGTTGCTCTGAGTAGGAACTGACTCCACAGAACACAACCAACACCACCACCAAGTTTAATTTGAGGAGACCTGCCAGATTCGTATTCAAAGTGGCTGCACCATTTTACAGTTCTACCAAAGAGCCTATCTCTTGAAAGGATTTGCACCAGCTTTTTGTACCTAAGTGTGAATTTTCAGCCCTCCCCTCCCCTGAGTGCTGCTTATGGAATTGAGGTGAAGGATCCTCCCGGTATTCCTGAAGTATCCATCCAGAGATGGCCCACACCCACCTGGAAACCCAGTATCTAGGCAGGAGTTGAGCACGGTCTTGCTTCAACCTTTGGAAAATGTGGACACAGCCCTGCCAGTGCTCTGGCTTGCTCAACGGTAAATAGGCCATCCTGGGGCTCACCTCCATGCAATGCAAATGCAACTTCCGCCAACAGAGATAGAGCCTGCCGGTGTCCACACTCGGCCTCCTAGACTCTGGGATGCAGATGTTCTGGTGAGATAAAACAAAGATGAGGAGTTTGTAAAAGGGGCCCCTCCCTCTCTCATGGGATCACCACTTGTTGCTCCTTTGTGGACTGGAGGTAAGGCTCCACAGCCAATCAGTAGTAGTTGTTAGTAGCTGTCTGCCTACCCAACTCATGGCAACCCCATGCACAATCAGATCAGACCATTGTGATTCAAGATACAAGGACTCAATTCAATGTAAAGGAAACAAAACCCCTCACAATCGGACCAGTAAACAACAACATGATAAACAAAGGAAATACTGAAGTTGTTAAGGATTTCATTTTACTTGGATCTACAGTCAGTGTTCATGGAAGCAGCTGTCAAGAAATCAAAGGCTATATTGCACTGGTCAAATCTGCTGCAAAAGACCTCTTTAAAGAGTTAAAGAGCAAACATGTTACATTGAGGACCTAAGTGCACTCGATTCAAGCCATGATATTTTCAGACCCCTCATATGCATGTGAAAGCTGGGCAGTGAATACGAAAAACCAAAGAAGAATTGATGCATTTGAATTATGATGTTGGTGAGGAACATTAAATTATACCATAGGCTATCTGAAGAATGAAGAAAGCTGTTTTGGAAGAAGTACAGACAGAATGCTTCTTAGAGGCAATGATGGTAAGACTTCATCTTACATACTTAGGGCATCTGATCAGGAGGGACCAGTCTCTGGAAAAGAACATCAGGTTTGGTAAAGTAGAGGATCAGAAAAAAAGAGAAAGACTCTCAACAAGGTGCATTGGTGCAGTGACCTCAACAATGGGTACAAGTGTAACAACAATTGTGAGGGCAGTGTTTTGTTCTGTTGTGCATAGGGTCACTGTGAGTTGGAACTGACCCGACAATACTTAACAATAACAACAACAACATAGGAGATCAAATTGCCAATGACAACTGGAAAGATTTTATAGGAACCTTAGGAGGCAGTGAGGGAGGAACAGCTCAGAAAAGGAGGGTGAGAACGGTTACACAAGTCCAAGAATGCAGTGTCCCTGAAGTGTACATGTAGAAACGCTTGGACTGATGTGTAAATTTTGCTGTGTATATTCTCAACAGCAACAAAATAAAATTTAGGGGGAAGAAAAATCTACGGCGCACAGCCTACTCTGCCACATGGGGTTTCCATGAGCTGCAGGGGACTTGGAGGCAACTAGTTTTGCAATCTGGGGCATAATTTCACTGTCCCTAGACCTCCAGACAGGGCAGGTGCTCTCTAGGGGCTCCCCAGCTCTCACCTGGTTTCCTTCTCTCTAGAGTGGTGCCTGCAGACCTGCACTTGTGGCTTCTACTTTAGGCCCACCCTGTGAGCTGAGATGCTATTTGAAGGTAGTCCACTGGCAGATGTTAACCTGCTCTTCTCCACTTCCCCTGAGGCCCAGGGAGAAGAAAGTGAATTATGATTAAGAAAGAAATATTTAAATTAAAAAGAGATGTTTTGCAGCCTGCTGAGAAAGGAGCAATGACTTATTTGTGGGGATCTTTGCAAATCGGTCCACATTATCTGAGTGGTGGTGTGAGCTATTTTAGGTGCACTTCCCAGAGGTTTAAGCATGGTAGTTGGTCCACTGACGCATTTACTGCTGAATCTGAGGCACAGATAGCCTTGGGTCAAGCCCAAAGTTCTAGACAAAAAAAGTTTGCCGTAGGAAGTTCTCCAGCAGAACAAATACATCCTCTAACCAGCTAGATTCTTGTTGCCGTTTGGGGTGGGAGGTCCTGGTGTGGCTTTGTAAGATAAGCATTAAATTGCCAACCGCAAGGTCCATGGTTCAAACCCATCAGCTGCTCCTTGGAAACCTTGTACATACAGTGTTGCTATGGGTTAAAACAGACTCGATGGCACTTAACAACAGCAACAACATATATTTGTGTATACATATGTACATATATATGTATGCAAATATGAGGAAGACCTCAACAAGTTGGATTGACATAATGGCACGTGTGTGGCCTCAAATGTAACAATTGTGAGGATGGTGTAGGGTCAGGTAGTATAGTGTTTCATTGTATTGTGCATAGGCTCACAATGAGTTGGAACTCACTTGATGACATCTGACAGCATAGGGTCGCTATGAGTCAGAACCAACTCCATGGCACATAACCACCACCACCACCATACACACACATATATATACATATATAGTAGCGTCGTGGTTACGAATCGGGCTGCGAACCTTAAGTTCAGCAGTTTAAAACTACCAGCTCTTCCACAGGTGAAAGATGAGGCTTTCTGCTCCCATAAAGATTTACAGCCTCGGAAACCCTCTAGAGGGTCGCTATGAGTCAGAACCGACTCCACAGCACATAACCACCACCACCATATAGATTATTGTTGTTAAGTGCCGTATGTAAAATTTACTGTGTTTTTGGCGTAAGTTTCAATAACAAATTAGGTTCCTGTTTAACAATTTCTACACATGTATTCAGTGACATTGGTTACATTCTTCATAGTGTATCAACTTTCTCATAATTTGCGTTCTGTGGTTCTGTTTCTAGTAGTCTAGCTTCCCTACCCCCTTGCTTTCTCATCTTGGTTTTTCAGTAAATGTTGACCATTTGGTTTCATATAGATTTTTTTTTTCTTCAAGAAACACAATACTCTTGGATGATATTGTCTATTTTGTGAGCCATTCTGTTATTTAGCTATACGATGACCTTGTGGAATAGTTTTGGTTCAAGGTTTAAAGAGTATCTCAGGGTGGCAACCTTGGGGAGTCCTCCAGCTCAACCAGTCCAGTAAGTCTGGACTTTTTAAAGAAACTGAGTTCAATTCCCCGTTTTCCTCCCATTCTGCCAGGATCCATCTCTTGTGTTCCTGATCAGAACAGTCAGTGGTGATAGCTGGGCACCATCTAGTTCTGGTCTTAGGGTGGATGAGATCATGGTTCATGTAGACTATTAGTCCTATGGACTCATTTCTTCTAAGTCTTTGATTTCTTTCTTTGTCTTTTATTCTGGACACATAGAGACCAATACAGACTCCTACTGTGGCACTGTAGGATCAGCATTGGACTGTGTACCACAAGGCCAGCAGTTCAAAACCACTAGTTGCTCCTTGGAAACCCTATACAGGATCACTATGAGTCGGAGTTGACTCAACATTGTACTTTACAACAACAAGAGACCAGTAGCTATACCTTAGATTACGGTTTGCAGGCTTTTAAAACCCCAGGCACTACTCACCAAACTAGGGTGTAGGACATAAATTTTGCTTAGTGTGTTATGCCAATTGACTGAGTTGTCCCAGGAGACTATGATTCTAAGCCTTTAGACTCAGGAAATCAACCCCCTGGGATATTTGGTTAAGTCTGAAAAGTGTATGTATTTGTGCCCCACTTGGTTTCAGTTTATAGTGCACAGCATGTTTATAAGCATTTTTCCACATTGCCACAGTTTCTCATGGTCTGTGATTCTAAGTGGAAGTATAACATTCCATCCTGCATTATAAATTATAAGCGTTTTTCCACAGTGCCACATAGTTTCTCATAGTCTGTGATTTTAAATGGCAGTGTAACATTCTGTCGAGCCTTTTCCCACGTTGCCACAGTGTCTCATCATCTATGATTGTAAATGGCAGTGTAACATTTCATCTTACAGAGGAGCCGGGATATACTAACCTGTTCCCCTGCTGCTGGACACGCACCTTCCCTCCTTGTTGTTGCTGTAAATAACACTGGGATGAACATCACTAGCAAGTTTCTGGACTTTTTAACCACTGCATTAGGAAATCTTAAGCTACTAACTGCATATAATTAGGGAGTTTTTTTTTAATGCCTCCTAAGGAGCTCTGGTAGCGTAGTGGTTACGAATCGGGCTGCGAACCTTAAGGTCAGCGGTTCGAAACTACCAGCCGCTCCGCGGGAGAAAGATGAGGCTTTCTACTCCCGTAAAGATTTACACCCTCGGAAACTCTATACAGGGTCGCTATGGGTCGGAACCGACTCGATGGCACATAACAACAACAACAACAACATATATATACACATATGGACGCCTGATCTGGCGTTGTAGGATCAGCACTGGACTGCTAACCACAGGGTCGGCGGTTCAAGTTCACCAGCTGCTCCTTGGAAACCCTATACAGGTTTTCTATGAGTCTAAACCGACTCAATGGCACTTAACAACAACAACAGCAACTTTATAATAGTTAGCTTGGTACAGGTTCAAAACATTAAATAATCTTATAAAAGATTTCCCTATCTGGGTCCTTTTGAGTTGTTTAGTTATTTGCCTCATTCCACTTTGCCTTGTTTTTCCTTTTTAGATGTTTTTACACAAATTTCCCTGGTCCCCATTTTACATGAGCAGCTACATCCTTCCATCTCTGTACATGTGCTCCTTCCCTCCGCACCCTGTCTGTGCACAGGGACGGGGGATCCTTTGGTTCTTGGCCCTAGGCCTTTCCTCTCACCTCAGTTGATAGGTTTTCCTCGAGGCCAGCTAACATCTAGACTTTATCCACTAAAGCACTGACCAGCCTTTCTTTTTAAAAACTTTTTATTGTGAATGGAATGATGGTTTCTAGAACAGATCACCAATTTTACATTCAGCAAATCAAACACTTCGTTTCATCTCAATGATTGCATTCCCCTCAATGTAACATCGCTTATCCCACTTCCTCCCTTGTTTCTTGTTTCCATTCCTTTTTCCTGATCCATCTGCATTTTGTCCTTGGGTAAATGCTGCTCTTTTGATCTCGAATGATTGACCAGTCTTTGGCATGCACACGTCATATTGTTGTTGCTCCCCTCCCTGACATATCCCTATCGATTGCTTGGCCGAATACTGAACTGTGCAAGTGAGTTCAGTTCCAGACCCTGAGGGTGACCAAAGGCCATAGTCTCAGATTTCCTCCAGTTTCTGTCTGAGCACTAAGTTTGATCTTTTTTACGATTTTGAGTTTTGTTCCACATTTCTACCTACTCTACCTAGGACCTTCTAATGTGATCCTTTTCAGAGCAGTTGGTAGCTTAGCAGGGCACCATCTAGTTTTTCTGGTCTCTGGACCATGGAACTGACCAACTTTTCCCTGATTATCTCCTGCCTCTATTTTGCCCCTTGGTTTCTCTTCTCTCCTCCCATGTCCTAATCCATCAGATCCCATGAACCTTCTGCCTCTCACAGTCACTGCACAGCTGCCCCACATCGACCTTCAGTTCAGACCCTGCCTCTCCCCATTTGGGGCCCACAGCACCAAGTGCTCCTGCCCTGGGGCCTGCCTCTGCCATATCAGAGCCCAAGCGTCCCCTTAAGCTCTTCTGAAGTTTGGGTCTCTTGTTATTCTCCCTCCTTAAAGTGCTGGCAAGTAGGAGTTGGTAGTGTGGAGAGTCACAGGCCCAGTGTCTAGCCCTATCAGAACTCCTAATTGGCCAAGTGGCCCAGGCCACCCCTGCCATCTCTGAGCTTTCCTGTTCACGTTTGACCTGGGATGGGGTGGAGTGGATGCATGAAAGGTCTCTTGCAGGTGGGAAGGTCCATGCCCCAGTGGTAGGACAAGGCTAGGCTAGAGAATCAGGAGGTAGGAAAGTTCCTCAAGGGCTACTTAGTCCAAGCCTGTTCTGTTCAAGCGGGAAGGCTCTGCACTTACCCAGGGTGTTCAGATTGGACAGAAGCTCCGGATTCACTGGATAACTTGAGTTTTTGTGCACAACTGTGACCCAGCCAAAATCATTTGTAGTGAATGTGAGTATCTGTTGTAATGACAGATTTGATAACTTTTCTGGATTTAATTTTGTTTCTTTTCTCTTTCACAGGGCGGTCCAGGAGGTTCCAGCACTGGATTTGGAAACTTTATGGAAATTGGACCTCTTGACAGTAATCTCCAACCAAGAAACACCACTTGGGTACACTGAGGGTTGCTCCTAGTGACACCTGCAATGTGGCCTCTGGGAGGCTGAGCCCCACCCTGCCCTCCCAACTCTGGGTGGGGTCACAAATTTTGCAGTGCCACCCTATATCTTTCCCAGTCCTGTGACCTTTGCCTTTCCCTGTCCTGTGACCTTGCTCTCCACTTGCCTTCAGAAACCTTCGCTAGCAGCCTTGTTCTTACTTATAGAGTGGTCATCTCTGAAATCTCAGGCTGCAGTCCTTCCCTGTAAACCCAACCTTGCTATCTAAGTTCCGTGTTCCAAGTGTATAATCCAATGGCTTCTAGTGCGTTCTCAGAGTTAGGCAACCACCACAGTAATCAATTGTCAATTGATTATCATCTAATCTCCCATCACTCCCTGCCCCAAGCAACCACTATTCTACTGTCTGTCTCTGTACATGTGTCAGTTCTTAATATTGCATATGAATGGGCTCATTCAGTATGTGGTTCTGTCTGACTGACTTCTTTCACATAGCGTAATGTTATCAAGATTCATCCATGTGGTAGCATGTAACTTCATCATGTTTTTTTTCAAGTTTTCATTGTGAATTGAGTGTTAGTTTACATGGGAGGACATTGGTTTTACACTCATTGTTTCATTACAATGATTACAATCTCCTCCATGCATCGTCATTTAACAGCATTTGCTTCTATTCCCTGTTTTTTTTTAAACTTCATCCTTTTTTAATGGCAAATAATGTTTCATTAAAGAGTTCTGGTAGTATAGTGGTTACGAATCGGGCTGCGAGCCGCAAGGTCAGCAGTTTGAAACTACCAGCTGTTCCATGGGAGAAAGATGAGGCTTTCTGCTCCCGTAAAGATTTACAGCCTCGGAAACCCTGTACAGGGTCTCTGTGAGTGGGAACCGACTCCACGGCACATGACAACAATAACAACGTTTCATTGTGTGTATATATTGTGTTTTGTTTATCCATTCATCAGTTGATGAACATTTGGGTTGCTTTCATATATTGGCTATTATGAATAGGCACACATTTGTGTACACATTTTTGTATGGACATATATTTTCATTTCCCTTGGGCATATATACCTAGGAGTAAAATTGCTGGGTCATATGGAGCCACGGTGTGGCACTGTAGGATAAGCACTGGACTGCTAAACACAAGGTTGGTGGTTCAAACCCATCAGACACTGCTTGGAAATCCTGTACATAAGGTCACTGTGAGTTGGAGCTGACTTGACATCACTTAACAATAACAATGGTAACTTTATGCTTCATACTCAAATGCTTTTCATATTTTTCATCCATTCCCTTTTCTCCATTACCACCAGTGGCTGCTTTCAGAGTGTCCTCTCCAATCTAGTTCTCGAGTGCAAATCATACCTTTGTTTAGCACAAGCCAATTACGTTAAAAAGTCAGAGTAGACTCTTAGGCAGAATCTGGCCTCTGCCTCCAGCAGCATCTCCTAAAATTACCCATGAGTCCTGGTGTAGCACTGTAAGGACAAGCACTCAACCACAAGGTCACTTTGAACTGCAAGGTCGGTGATTCAAACTTACCAGCCGCTCCTTGGAAATCCTATACAGGATTGCTATCGGTCGGAACCAACTTAACGGCACTTAACAACAACAACAACAACAACCCCACTTCAGGCTTCTACATGGGCAGTTTCCATAGCTTGGACTTCATTCCACTGGTTACTTACTCATATGTAGCTCACCATAATCACAACTAGCTTAGGACTTCATGTAGGCTCACCTCACTGAGGTCTTCTCCCAATTCTCCTTTGAATTCCTCATCTGTCACTATACTGGTTTTCCTTAAGTGTTCTTTACTACTCTTGCTTCAGGGTCTTTGCACACGCTGTTCTCTTGGCCTGGAACACACCTGTTCTCAGTTCCATCTAAAATGTCACTTCCATTTGCAGTAGGGGAGTACCTCACTGGTGTGTCCTAAGTCTTTCAGAGCTGGTGCAAAGAAAACCAAGACTGAGAAGACCCAGGTCATCGTCTTGATGCTGCCATTTCCTACCCAACTTTGTGATCTTGGACTGGCCCTGGGCCTTTCTGGGCACTAATTTCCTCATCAGTAAAGAACACAGCTGGACTGCATCATGATTAAGGAGCCTTCTTTAAGTTATAAAATTCTATAATTCTAAGCTTCTTAGGAAAAGAGATTAGAATAAATTCTTTTCTCATAGTGTACAAGAAAATCAGGCCAATGTGGAAATTGTATTCATCTTGAAAAGAACTGATGTGTGGTATTCAGGCCTTGAGAATACATCTGTCACTGCTTGGTTAGAGTTACTTACTATTCAGAGACAGTGAGCACTCTAACCTATTACACTTAGTAGATTTATATTCTGTGAAAAGTGACCACTTAGATTCTTTGATCCCCAGGTCTGTTGTCTTTCCCACTTGTCTCTCCTGCTAATGTTTTTACTTTGCTACAGTCTGTTTCCACCTTTGACATTAAAAGAAAATCCCTTCTAACAACACTATTGTGGTCACTGTGATTATCTTCACATCTGTGGTTTTTGCTGAGCTCATTTAAGATGCTCAAGAGATCATTGTTGACCAACTGATGGATTGCAACATTGGTTTTCCTCTGTGGCACGTAGCTCCGGTATGCCAGCCTCCTGTTTGTGGACAATCCTGTGGGTACTGGGTTCAGTTATGTAAACAAGAGTGACGCATACACCAGAGACCTTGATATGGTGGCTTCAGACATGATGGTGCTCCTGAAAACATTCTTCGAAGGCCACAAAGAATTCCAGGTATGCGAAGGCTGGGGACAGCTGAGTGAGGGGTTAATAGTAGCAACATGATGTGCTTAGAATAAACTTAGACTTTCGCAAGAATTCAATGCCTGGCTGATTTCAGAGAGAACCTTTTTACACCCAAGATTACGTTGTGGACTTTTGTCTCCGAAGTTGACTTTTAGCTGGAAAGAATGACCCTGTGGTCAATTTTCTTATCAGATGTTCCAATGAGAGGTGGGGGAAGAGACAAAAATAAATATGTTTTGTCTATCTATTACATGCAATAGAAATTTGCGATGAATTTTATGAATCAAAAGCATTCGGTCTATTTTACTTCTATTTTTTTTTTCTTGCTAGATGATTCCCTTCTACATTTTCTCAGAGTCCTACGGGGGGAAAATGGCTGCTGGCATTTCGCTAGAGCTTCATAAGGTAACAGAGGATGACTGTTATTTGGGACAGAAAATTATCGTGTTCATTTTTTTATACTTGCCTGATAGTGAATATCCTTTGAGTAGGATTTTCTGCTTGAATAATAAGTCTTTAATAATAACCAGAAAAGTTTTTAGAACAGCAGTTCAGGATAAAGAATCTAGAAACAGGTATAAGAAAATATCTGTCCTATGCACAAGGGGGCTTCAAAAAATTTCATTGAAAAAAAACAAATTTCATAGAAAAACTTTATGATCTTCATTCCATTTTTCCATGAGCTTTTTAAAGTCCCTTTCTATGTGTGTATATGCTATATACATAGATGCACATTTACACACCTATTGTAAGCCATACTGGAGTCCTGGTGTGGCACTATAGGATAAGCACTGGACTGCAAGGTCGGTTTAAACCGTATGGCTGGCGGTTCAAACTTACTAGCCACTTCTCGGAAACCCTATATAGGGTCACCATGAGTCAAAACTTAACTCAACATCACTTAACAACAACAGAAAACTATACTGTAAGTATCATATTTATATACTATTTATAAATCTATATATTTGTCATACATATATATTTGTTGTTGTTGTTTTTATGTGCCATGGAGTCAGTTCCGACTTACAGCAACCCTGTACAGGGTTTCTGAGGCTATAAATCTTTACGGGAGCAGAAAGCCTCATCTTTCTCTCGTGGAACTGCTGGTAGTTTCGAACTGCTGACCATGAGATTAGCAGCCCAGTCCATAACCACTATGCTACCAGAGCATCTTGTATATCACCAGCCACTTCTCAGAAACCCTATACAGGGTCACTATGAGTCAGAACCAACTCGACAGCATTTAACAGCAATAACAATCTTATGATGGAAAGTTTCTCCTACTCAAGATTATAAAGTTTTCTCCTATATTTTCAAGCACTCTTATAATTTGTATTTTTACATTTTAATTCATCTAGAATTTATTTTCTATTAGGCAAAAATCCAACTTTATTATTTTTCAGTCATTTGTTTCCATACCATTTACTGGATACTCTAGCCAATGACTTGAAACGCCATCTTACTATGTGTGTATATATTATGTATATATATATATAAATGCTGTCAAGTTGGTTCTGACTCACAACAACCCTGTGTAGGATTTCTGAGGAGTGGCTGGTGAGCTTGAGCTGCCAACTTTGCAGTTTAAACTGACCTTGCATTCCAGCACATTAACCCGCAGCGCTGCCCCAGGACTCAGGATAAAATACCTAAAAGATGAAAAGAGTGGTTGACATATTTAGACCATGTACAAATTTAAGGTCAGCAGTTCGAAACTACCAGCCGTTCCGCGGGAGAAAGATGAGGCGTTTTGCTCCCATAAAGATTTACAGCCTTGCAAACCCTGTGCAGGGTCGCTATGAGTAAGAACCAACTCCACAGCACTTAACAACAACAACATAACAGAAAAAGGCATTCATTTCAATAAACCCCATCACCTGCTTCTCAGAAGCCCTATATAGGGTTGTTATGCATTGGAACTGACTTGGTGGCACTTAATAATAATAATAAGAAGAAAAAGATTATATCAAAGTAGAAAAATAGGCAGAGAATATGGACAAGCATTTTATAAAAGAATACAACTTGTCTATGGATCTGTGAAAATTAACAACTCTTTATGTATGGTGGTGATTATGTGCAGTTGCATTGATTCCATCTCATAACAACAATATATAGGGTTTTCGAGGCTGTAAATCGTTACAGGAGCAGAAAGCTTCATCTTTCCCCCATGGATTGATTGGCAGCAGTTAACCACTGCTGACCTTGTGGTTAACAGCTCAGCTCATAATCCACTATATACCAGAGTTCCTCTTTCATACATGAGGTATGCAAATATTTAAAAGATGGATAATGCCAGTTTGGGCTACAAGTCAGGGAAATAAGCATTCTCAAGCACTTTTGGTTGGATTGGAAATTGGACAATCTTTTTTAAAGAGTTATTTGACATATCTATGGTGCTGTAAGGAGCCCTGGTAGTGTAGTGGATTATGAGCTAGGCAGCTAACCTGAAGGTCAGCAGTTCGAATCTACCCGTCGATCCATAGGAGAAAGGTGAGGCTTTCTGCTCCTGTAAAGATTTACAGCCTTGAAAACCATACAGGGTCACTGTGAGTGAGAACTAATTTGGTGGCACATCACCACGGTGGTGCTGTGGATAAGCATGCTGTGTACTGCAAAGTTGTACTGTAAGGTCAGTGGTTCAAACTGAGCAGCCATTCATCAGAAACCCTATACAGAGTTACAGCGAGTTGGAAATGACTCATCACTTAACAACAACAATGAACTTTTGAGACAGAGGTGTCATTTGACCCAACAATTCCACTTAAAGGAATCCATCCTATAGAAATCCTTATACGTAAGTGTATTTCCGTGGATGGTTGTTACAGCATTGCTTGTAATGCCCATTAAATGAGCAAGCTCATTGGCTGTCGGTTGGGGACAACTTAAATGAAGTAGATACAGCCTTCTTTGTTGGAAAACTTTGCAGTTATTATAAAGAATGGATAGAGTTTGTATGTTTCAAGTATGAAAAGTTGTCCCTGGGTATTGTTAAATGGAAAAGAGTATGTTGTAAAACATTATGAGGTGCCTTTGCTTTGTTGTAAAGCAAGGAAACATCTCTGTGGGTGGATGTATTGCACACACTTGTGAAGGCAAAGGAAGGATACATAACATATTAATTAACTGGTTGTCTGGTCAGTGTCGGGGGACAAGTAGGCCAGAGGTGGGAGGGTTTTCCATAGTTTTATCTAGCTTCTTTTATGTTTGCATTTTATAAAGTGAGTTGTTGGAGTTTTATTTTCTTAAGATGAATTCGTTCTTGTTTTTAAAATATACCTTTTATAAAAACAGTACCTGTGCATTACAAGCAATTGAAAAATTTAACAAGCATAAATAAAATAAAAAAATTCCACCAGGCAGCGATCACACTCAGACATGCTGAACATGTTAGTATGGTGGTGGTGGTGTGCCATGGAGTCAGTTCCAACTCATAGTGATCCTGTATAGGGTTTCCGAGGCTGTAAATCATTATGGAAACAGAAAGCCTCATCTTTCTCCCACAGAATTGCTGATAGTTTTGAACTGCTGACCTTGAGGTTAGCAACTGAACTCGTAACCACTACACTACCCGAACTCCTGAACATGTTAATATATAATCTTCTAAATCTTTTTCTGGACATTTATAAAGAATCTTTTTAACCAAAATGAGATAATGTCTTTTATATGCTATCTATAATCTTCTCCTTTCCATTTCAGTAAATTTTCATTGCAAATTTTCACACTTCTTCAATTGACCTCAAAATATCCCTTACAGCTGATTTATTTAAACCAGTATTCAAGCCGGGTCCATGAATGACATCTAGCAATGATTTCGCCCAAGTCTGGTGTATGACATCTAGCAATGATTTCGCCCAAGTCTGGTGTAATCCAGCACACCCTTTCTTTATGACATTGATTTGTTGAAGAAACCAGACTACTTACAGACCAGGGTGTCTTACACAGTGTCCCCTTTTCTGGACTTAACATGGTGCCTTCATGGTGTTACTTACTTTATTCCTCTAGCCACTGTGCTTCCTACAAAACTGGAGGTTATAAAGGCTTGGCCAATTCAAAGTAAAAATCTGGGGCCAGGATTCAGATCTGGCATGCCACCTGTTTTAGTGCAGCTTGAAAACTAGATTGTTTTTACCTCTTTAATGGTTGGGGTGGTGCGAATAAGGAATCAAAAGAATAATATTTCATGACACATGATAAAGATATTAAATTCTGTTTTCATAAACAAAATTCTGTTAGCATGCTCAGTTGTTTACATATTATCTGTGGCTTTAATATTGTATCTGCAGAGCTGAGTTTTTGCAACAGAGACCATTGGCCCACAACGCCTAAATATGTCATAGATGACTCTTTACAGAAAAAAAAATTACATTGCTGTCATAGGTGATACTATGCACTTAGTTTGTTCACCATTAGGGATAGAAGCGGTGATACCAGCTTGATTCCTCTAGGAAACTCCTCTTCCTTCCCCCTTCGATGCAAAGTAATCTCATTGGTGTCATTTTCATATTGCATGGTTGTCCAGTTCTCCGTCCATTGGTCACCTAATGTTTTAAAAGTCAATTCATAATTCTCACCTAAATCAGTAATCTTATTCGCAGTTTCAAAATGGTGGTTTCTCTCTGTGTCATTTTGCTCACATCTATTAGCTGCCATTCTTCCATAAAAGTAGTAATTTCTGTCATCACCTGGTACTATTCAGTTGACTTTGCAATATAGTTCCTCCTGGAAAAGCCAGATAAATGCATACTTTTTTTTCCTTTAAATACTAATATGCAAAGCAAGGTAATCATTGCTTCTTTATGTTAGATCTCTCCGAATAGCTAAGACATTCACATAATTCAACATTCAAAAAATGTAAAAAGAATACTATGAAAATTCTCCCTCTTGCATCTGGCCCCCTTGTCTCCCAGGCAGCCTCTATTATTAGTTTGCCCTATATTTTTCCAGAGGTATTTTATAGCTCTACAAACTAATTCATATACATTCAGTTTTACACAAATGATACCATATACCATATACTATTCAGTATCTTTTTATTTTTTTAATTTAATTTAAAATATATCTTGGAAGTCTTTATATCAATTCATAAAGGGCTTTTCTTCTCTTTTAAAAAAAATTTTAATTTGCATCATGTACTGTGGAAACACCATACTTCATTTAGCCAGTCCTATGGATAGTTGTGGTGTGGCGCTGTGGGTTAATGCGCTAGACTGCAGAGCCATTTGAACTGCAAGGTCGGTGGTTCAAGCTCACCAGCTGCTCCTCAGAAACCTTACACAGGGTCACTATGGGTCAGAACTGACTTGACATCACTTAACAACAACAACAATGGATAGATAGTTCTGCTCTGTCTCAGGTACTATGAGTTGGAATCAACTCAGTGGCAGTGGGTTTGGTTTGTGGTTTGAGATTACGGGTAGTTGTTTAGACTGCTCCTAATTGTCTGCTAAAAGAGAGTAGAATGTCATGAAAGCTTCCATCTACCCTCAGAGACTGCTGAGAGAGTCCTTTACAGCCCATCATTGATAGCTGCTTATAGCTATGGTGGGGCCCAGGGAGCCTTTGGAGTACCTTGTGAGAAGTCAGGAACCTCAATGGGGAATGAACAGCAGTGTCCCTTTTAAAAGAGACCAGAAGACCCTGTGCACAGCCTGTGACTGAGGAAGAGAGCTTACCTAGCCACTACTCATTTTGCATATGGTGGCAGGGAAGAGCAACTCTTGCTCCTTTGTGGGTGTCAGGTCTTTTGATACCCAAGAAATTGTGGAAAGGGTGGGCAGAAGTTTTCTGTGCTCAGTAAAGGCAGGATGTAAAGGCTTGATGCCCTCCATCTGTTGAGGTTGGGGATGTAAGCCACTGTGTGCCCTTGGCAAGCATGTTTCTTGACTGTTGTTGTTTTTTCCAGGCCATTCAGCAAGGGAGCATCAAGTGCAACTTTGCTGGGGTTGCTTTGGGTGATTCCTGGATCTCACCTATTGGTAAGTACCGGGTTTTCAGGCATTTCATTCCTACCTCAGGGACTTTGGGGCTGTATTGTTCCAATCAGAGAACAAGGCAGCAGGTGTTTCTGGACCCTGGGAGAAAGCACAGAAAGTATTGGTCTCAGGATCATCTGAGAGATTTGGGGATGAGAACTCATCAACAGAGCCCCCACAGTGGGCCACTATGGGCTGAACTGAGTTACTTCATTCTCACAGCAGAAGAATCAAAGTTTATGGCGGAAACTGTTCCCAACGCACATAGGGGTAGTGTCGTTTGCCCTCTGATGTGGAATGAGTGGACTAGTCAGGATTCAAGCCCAGTTCTTTCTGCCTCTGCTCATTCCTCCACCACCTTGATGCTGGAGCAACATTTGGGGTGAAATTCCCAGCTGTTGTTCCTGGTGAGACAAGATTGTCATCACATCCTGTAATCAGAAGTGTGCTGTTTCATAACGAGCAACCTTGTTGGGAACAAGAGGAGTGGTTTATGTTGTAGACATCCGGGGTGTGGCTTCAGACCCCAGATGGAATCATCTTAATTGGGTTAAGTTTGACATAGGTTTTCTCAACCTTGGCACATTGACACTGAAGCTGAATAACTATTTGTTGTGAGAGACTGTCCTGTGGCATTATAGGGTGTCTAGCAGCATTCCTGGTCTCTGCAGAGATACCCAAACTGTCTCCAGATATTGTCCCATGTCTTTTGGGGGCCACATTGCCCATGCTGAGAACCATTGCTCTAACCTAACAAGAGGTGGACTTTCCCAGGCAAGAGGAAACGGGTTAGAATCAGAAGAGAGGTTGCCTCTGGGGCAGGAGGGAGCGGGACACAGGGGAGTTTTCTTGGGTGTTGCTGTTGTCTTATTTAGGTTAGGGCGGCAATTACATGGGTTTAGGCAATGATCAGAGTTGCTCAGCTCAAGGTCCGTTTATGATTTATGGTAGGTAATGATGTCTCAATTTGTAAGGGGTGTATTTTCCGCATACCAGAGAGGGATTTGGCTTGTAAATGAGCTGTATTCCTAATGGCCTTGGAACCTCTGGTGCTAAGTAGAATAATTTTTTCTTGTCTTCATTCATGGCATCTCCAGGGTAGGCCTAAAATGTCAGGAACCTGAGATCTGAGGTTGCGTGGAAAGTAGGACTGCTGTTTCTTTGAGTGGAGCTCGTAGGATATCATCAGACTACCGGCACCTTGTTAGGAGGCATGAGGGTCCAGCAGGTTTCCTGTCAGATGCCTGACTCAGAATCACAATGCTGGTCCTCACACATCCTCCTCGGGGCCTCATCACAGCACTAAGTGCTTTGTGTATGTTAACTTCCTCAGTCCTTCCAACAGCTCTGGAAGGTGGATCCTATTATTATCCCAGTTCTACAGAGGCTGAAACAGGTTAAGTCCCTCTCTTAACCACCACAGCTAACGCGGTAGAGTTAGGACTCAATCTAGGCAGCAGGCTCTGGGATCCATTGTGCTTGATACTACACTCCATGGGCGCATACGCTCTGTGGTGGTTGTTGTTAAGTGCCGTTGAGTCGGTTCTGACCCGTAGTGACCCTGTATAGGGTTTCCGAGGAGAAGCTGGTGAGCTTGAACCACCGACCTTGCAATTCAAACAACTTTGCAGTAGGTCTACCTTTTTCTGCTTACGATGGCCCCCATTCCCAAATGGCTCTGCCTCCCTAGATCTTAACTCACCTTTCCAGGTTCACTGTATCACTCTCCATCTCAGAAGCATTCCCTTTTTGAAGGGGAAATAGTGTTCTTTCCACTGCTGGTTATTCATTGCATACTAGACACTAGTAGGTGCTGAGCAAACAAAGATACATAAGACACACTTGCCTTCCACAAGGTATTGATCTATACTATCCAACGTGGACAAGCAAGTGAAACCATTTCTCAGTTGCACTAGCCACATTTTACGTGCTCAATGGCCACATGTGGCAAGAGGAGACAGTACTGGACAGTGCAGAATACTGGCTCCACACCAGTAACTCTGTTTTTGTAAATATGACTTATTGGAACGCAGTTACATCTGTTCACTTACATATTGTCTCTGAGTGTTCTCATGTAGTACCAGTAGGGTCAAATAGTTAAAACAGGCTTGCCAACTTGCCAAACCAGACATATTTACTATCAGACCCTTTATAGAAAAAGTTTGTCTGTCTTTGGTCTAGATCAAGCACGGCCTGGGATGCATTGGGCAATTACAGGCAGTTCTGTAATTTCAAGAAACGAGGCAAAGGCAGAGGCTTGGAGATGAAGCTGGAAAGGGTGGATGATAGGTAGGCCACGGAAAGCCTGTATGCCTGCACTTCTCTAGGTGTATTCTGAAGAGTACCAGTCCGATGAGGTGGTATACAAACAAGCGTTCCATAGTCAGATGAGTTTTGGAAGTGCTAAAGACTGATTCCACTTCTTGGGGGGTTTAAGGCTTTCAAAAGTCCCACAGTAAAAGAATGTGTCATAATTTGCATAACTTCCAAAGTACTTGGCCAAAGGATCACTCTTCCTTCTAAAACTTAGATTAAAGTCCTACAGAACTTGAAATTACTCAGAACATACATTGAGACACTTGGTTCTGAGGATCCGTTTAAGACTTTTGAGCAGAGGAGTTGACATAGTCAAATGTGCTCTGGATGGCGCTTGTCTGACCTAATGTTATGGGAATTGTGAGGGAGGCAGGCATTATTCCAGTCATATTTATTCTTCTGAAGCTCCTTGCTGCCTTCAGGTCCTTAGGAAATTCTAACACATTTGTGGAATAGAAATGAATTGATTGGCAACCGTCACCACAGACAGCATTCTTCTATAATTAGCTCCTCAGCAGAAGCTAGTAGCTCCAAGCAGGAAGAGCAGATAAGCTGCAGAGCAGAAATGTGAGGGTGGGGAGGTATTTTAAGCTGTCAAAAAGCCTAGAAGTCTGCAGCTAAGCCTCCACCTGTCCACCCACGGCCTGCCAGTGGGGATACCTCACTGACTGTGACACACTCCTTGGGTGGGTATCAGACCCAATTAACGTGCTGTCCCATCTGAGAGTCAGTTGAAGGGCCTCGCCCTCACCCCTCATCCCACCTCCCAGCCACCAAGAACGTCCGTCCATCCCCTGTGTGGTGAGTTAAGGAACCTTGACAGCAAAGCCACCAGTTCCCCCTAGTTGGGTTTTATCTTTGTAAAGACAGAGCCACGACAGATTCATTTTGTAAACATGTGCTTTCCTCTAGATTCGGTGCTTTCCTGGGGACCTTACCTGTACAGCATGGTAAGTAGGTAGGTCCTCCCCTCTGAAGGAGGAAGCTAGCTACTTATGCCTGTGTGGTTAACACTGTTAACGACTTAATGAATTCTGCTCTTGAACTGCTCCTTGGGGAATACGTAGCCCGTATCGTATGGAGGATACTAGACAACAACCTCAGGGACAAATAAACATCACCAGTTAACCAACCTTTTTCTAGGTACAAGAAAACATTCTTTAAAAATTGTGGTGAAAATAAACCTTACACAGCCATTTCTACATGGACAGTCTGTGATATTGATGGCCTTCTGCAGGTTGTGCCACTGTTCTTGCTATCCTTCCCCAAATTATTCTGTCACCATTAACATGTAAACTCAGTGCCCCCTGAACAAAAACACCCCCTTTCCCTCTCCCTCCGAACTGTGGTTGTTGTTGTTGTTAAGTGCCATCGAATTGGTTCCAACCTGTAGCGACTGTGGTAACTACTAGTAATCTTTGTTGTTGGTCTGCTTCAACTCGTAGCAACCCTTTATAGGGTTTCCGAGGCTGTAAATCTTTGTGGAAGTGCAAAGCCTCATCTTTCTCCCAAAGAGCAGCTGGTGGGCTAGAACCACCAACTTTGTGGGTCACAATCCAGTAGTTAACCCTACAGAGGGTTATGTTGTTAAGTGCCATTGAATCTGTTCTGACCCATAGTGACCCTGTATAGGGTTCCTGAGGAGCTTCGGAGTAGCAGCTGGTGAGCTTGAACCGCCAACCTTGTAGTTCAAACAGCTTTGCAGTCTGGTGCATTAACCCACAGCGCCACACCAGGATTCCACAGAGCTTCTGTAGATATGTTAATTTCATATAAGTGAGGTTATGTAATGCTTGTCCTTTGGCAACTCACTCGTTTTGCTGAGCATGATGTTTTAAAGGTTTTTTCATTTGTGGCATGCAAGAAACACTTTTTTTTTAACCTCTCAACTTTTGCTTTTCTTACTGTTGAAAATGTACACAGCTAAGCATACACTAACTCAACCATTGCTCCGTGTGCAATTCACGAATTGATTAGACTCTTTGAGTTGCGCAGCCATTCTCATCTTCCTTTTCTTAGTTGTTCTTCCACCATTAACGTAAACTCACTACCCCTGACCTTCCTATATAATCTTTGGTGTTGCTGTTGTCATTTTGATCCCATATGTTGTTGTTGTCATGTGCCGTGGAGTTGGTTCCAAGTCATAATGACCCTGCACAGGGTTTCCGAGGCTGTAAATCTTTACGGGAGCAGAAAGCCTCATCTTTCTCCCGCAGAACAGCTGGTAGTTTCCAACTGCTGAGCTTGAGGTTCACAGCCTGATTCGTAACCACTACACTACCAGAGCTCCTTTGATCCCATATTGTTAAGTGCCTTGAAGTCGATTCCAACACATAGTGATCCTGTATAGGGTTTCCAAGGATCAGCTGGTGAGGTTGAACCACCGACGTTGCAGTTCAAACGGCTTTGCAGTCTGGTGCATTAACCCACAGATAGTTCTAAAAGCAGCATAATGCTCAAGACAGATAATTTTACGTAGTTAAGCTAGACTGCTGTTTGGTCTGTGGAAGAATTCAGGGGATATTTTTGGGTTAAGGTTTCAAGATTATCTCAGGGTAATGGTTTCAGGGGTTTATTAAGCTTCCATGACTCCAGAAAGTATGGAATCTGTGAGGAGTTGAGATTCTATTGTACATTTTCCCCCCTTTTGATCAGGAGTCTTATATGGAATCTTTGATCAAAAATTCAGTAATGGTAACTGGGCACCATCTTATGGCAAAGGAGTCCCAACTCTTTTTATTATAAAGAATTTTAAATATGCAGACAAATGAAAATAGTGAACACTCATGTGCCCACCAGCTAGATTCTGTTAACATCTTCCTGTGTATCTTTCACCAGTAAATATATGTGTGTGTGTGTAATTTTTGCTAAATCATTTAAAAATAAATTGGCAGACATGATTTTATATGCCTAGTTTTAACTACTCATGTATCTCCTAAAAATAAGGCCATTTTCTTACATAACTGCCATACAATTATCATACCTAAGAAAATAGCAATTTCTTTAATATAGTCAAAAAACCCACTCTATTTCTAAACTTCCTTATTCTCCCCTAAAATGTATTTTATAGCTTTTATCTTCAGGCCAGGTAACAAGCATGTGTGGTCATACAAAACCTGGTTTTGAGGTGGATACCCCTAATAAAATTAGCAGGGAACAGTTAGGTGTTAGTGTGCTTTGTAAAGTATAAGGCCCAGTAACAATAATAGGTGATAATACTTTTGCTGGAGTCCTGGTGTGATGCTGTGGGTTAATGCACTGAACTGCAAAGTTGGCGGTTCAAGCTCACCAGCTGCTCCTCAGAAACCCTACACAGGGTTGCTATGGGTGGGAACTGTCTTAACAACAACACTTTTGCTGCTAAACTCTGTAGATTGTAGTGGTAGACCTTCATAGGTAGTTTCCCTTTCTCCTGCCCATGCCACGCCAATACCAGCAATTCCCAGTGGATATCCCTAATTCAGCCTTTCTGCTCTGGGTTTGCTTCTAGTCTCTTCTGGATGACCAGGGTCTGGCTGAGGTATCCAAGGTTGCAGAGGAAGTCCTGAATGCTGTGGACAAGGGCCAATACAAAGAGGCCACTCAACTGTGGGAGAAAGCAGAAATGGTCATTTTACAGGTAATGAGGGATGTGCTGAGAGCAGCCCAGTGGGCTTCTTACAATGGTTCCAGGACCTGGGCAGAAGAAAATCACGTGGCCTGTATAGGACTGGGGTCGCGCCTGAGCTCGCCACCAATTCTGGAAATGGTTGCATTTGTAACAGTTGAGTTGATACTGGTGGGTCTGAGCAGTAATGTAGTAACCCTGTTGTTGTTATGTGCCATTGAGTCCATTTCAACTCTTAAAAGCCCCAGGCGACAGGGTACCGCTGCCTCAGAGGTTTTTCTAGAATGCATCTTCAGGAAGTGGATCTCCGGCTCTTTCTCCTATGGAGACACTGTGGGGGTTCGAATGCTAACCTTTCAATTCGCAGCTGAGTGCTCCGTCACTGCACCACTAGGGCTCCTTTGTAGCCCTTTTACAAAATTAGAAAGCCACCCAGGCCTGCCACACTCACTCATTTGTCCCTCAACTGAAGGTACACATTCTAACAGAAAGTGTCTGATCTGCAGAGGGGAGTGTTCGGTCCAGGGCAGCATATTCCTTATTTTGAGGCAAAGCAGCTTTCTAATTCCGGTGAGCCAAAAGGAAGACTGCCCTGGCCAGGACGCTGCTCCCTGGAACACTTCCACCCAAGCCATTGGTTTACTTCTGCAGGGCATGTACTCCACCCCACCCCCACGAGAGTGGGCCAAGCCAACGGCTTTCTGAATCTTCCCAGCTGCTTTACTCGGTGCCTGAGCGAACTGACAAAGTTAAGGCTGTCCTTGGATGATAGTCAGGTGTCGTTCCTTCTGAAACACTGCTGATGGCCAAGTAGAGAAAGCTGACATCCAGCTATACTTTTATGTTTCAGAACACAGATGGGGTGAACTTCTATAACATCTTAACTAAAGACCCACCCATGTCACCTAAGAAGTCAAGTCTAGAATTCACCCAGCACCATCTAGGTGAGTACACCAGAGTCTGTCTCAGTGTTTTTAGTATATTCACAGATTTGTTTACCCACTACTACAGTCCAGTTTTAGAACACTTCCCAACTCCAGAAAGATGTTGCATGCCAACCTCAACCCCAGAAACCTCTCATCTGCTTTCCACTGCCATTGATTTGCCTTTTCTGGATATTTCGTAGAAAAGGAAGCATGCACTAGTAGTCTATCTTGACCTGGCTTCTTTCACTTAGTGTTTTGGAACTTTGTGGGCTAACTTTTTTATACCGAATTAATTACAATGACAGCTCTTTTAATGGTTAAATTCAGTTGTCTTCCAGCTGACCCAGCATCCTCCTGCTCTAAAAGACGTATAAAGTCCTCTATTCTTTAGTTCTTAACTGATTTCCTCTGGCCATCCAAGTAATCCAAGTGACCCCAAAGTACATAGAATGCAGCAATCAGAAATAATAAAGCATGTCTACATTCAGCATGCTTCTGACTTTTTTCCTCTTTCTGGGTAACCCTTTTCCTGGTCCGGCTGAAACCCTACCTCTTACTTCACAGCTTGAAAGAGATACCCTCGTGGTTTTATTCCCAATCCTTTGACTTACGGTGTACCAGTTTGGTTTTAGGTCGTCTTTATCAGCACCACGTGAGATACCTACAACAAGATGCCTTGAGTCAACTCATGAACGGTCCCATCAAAAAGAAGCTCAAAATTATTCCTGAAGATTACTCCTGGGGAGGTATTTATGTGTCATAATTAAATGACATGGGTAGAGTTTGGGAGAGACTAGAGATGCAGGTTCAAAGGCCTTAATCACGTAGGGCATCACACTTGGTAGAGCATCAGTGAAGAAGAAAAAGACCCTCAGTGAGAAGGACTGGCCCAGTAGTTACAACAGGGGACGGAAACATAATGATGGTGTTGCAGGACCAGGCTGGTTTTGGTTCTGTTGTGCACAGGGTCGCTGTGAGTTGGAACCAACTTAGCGCACCCAGTAACAATCTGTAGAATGGGTTCTGTTGGTGGTGATGGTATGTAGGTAAAACATGTTATTTATTCTCCAGATATTTTATGTGGAGACACATATATTGACATAGTAAATGACAGATCAAAATTTGGTTTGAAAAAAGGGGTTGGTGAGGAAAAGAGATGAAACATGATTGGTTAGGAGTTGGTAATTGTTGAAGGCAGCTGTAGGTATCTGGGAATCATTGCGCTCTTATCTCTTCTTTTGTGTAAGTTTGACATTTTCCATAATAAAAAATGAAGATCAAGAACTCTATGCTTCAGTCCCCAGTTGACTGTAGGTTTAGCTTCCAAGGACAGGTTCTTGCAGGGTGTCAGAAACACCCCTGTACTTAGACAGATTTTGACTAGCTCTCTTGCTGGCCTCCCCACACATCCTCATGCTGTGGTACATGTTATATCCTGCTCGCACAGCTATGGTCATAGGGACCTTCCCTGCCCAGTGCCCAGTGGTTGGATGAGCAAGGGAGACTACATTTTCATGGTAGATCATTGATAGAGAAAATTCCCTCTGGCCCCAGATCTATGTATATGAGGGACCTTTGAAAAGTTTTGGGAGAAATGGAATGATCGGAAATGAAATTTTTCTCCTGACTTTTTTTT